AAAGCTTTTTTTTTTTTTCAAGTGGTGCTGTTTATTAAGCTGTACAAGGTTAGATGGTTCAAATTTTAAGTCTGTGGATGAAACCCTAGAGTGTGACCATTCAAATGAAAGCTATTGAGCTGTAGTTTCACGAGATACTACTGTTTATTCTGCTCCATATGACGGTTATACCTGTTTAAAGTTTGTGGATGAAACCCCAGTGTGTGACCATTCAAATGAAAGACCCCATAAGCTACTAAGTCTTAACCTTTCATCGTGCTTAAATAAAGGTTGTCTGTCTGTTTGTCTGTCTGTCTACCCCGGAGTAGCAATTCAACACGGTGCGCGGTACTGTATGTCATGTTGCACAACGTGGTTCTAAGTCTAAGTCTGAATGAAACGCTGGAAGCTATTCAGCAGGACAGTACATTCATGTGGTACTGTTTATTATAAGAATCATATTAAACTACACTGCCACGAAAGGCTTTCCTTGCAGCTATTATAGTTTCCTGACTTCTAATAACACTACAATCACTCGCACCTCTTGCATAACGCTTCTCAAGTCTCGAACCACGTGATCAGGAGCGAGGTTTTCCCGCTGAACAACTCGCAACGCTCGCTCCACACTGAGTCTACTGTAGTCTGGGTTAGCGGCGAGGCATTTCACAAACTCTCTCTCTTCACTGGCATTTGACATGCGGACTAACACCGTTAGAATTTTAACTAGCAGGTCACGTGGATCAAAGGAATACCTGGAGATTAAAACAAAAATTTAAAACAATTTTCATTTCTCTAGATGAAGAGTGGGCTATTCAAACATTACAAAATGTGTGGACGGTCTTGTCGACCAGTGTCCAACACTTACACTACATCGACAAGTTTAGTCACTATGTTAACCCATCACATACAGCTTAAGACAGGAATTGCACCCTATTAAAGAGCTAACTTAAGCTAACGGAAACGCTACTCAGGCTAACAGGAGTGCTGTTCAGGCTAACCAAAGTGGTATTTAGGCTAACTGGAGTGCTGTTTAGGTTAACCAAAGTGGTATTTAGGCTAACTGGAGTGCTGTTTAGGTTAACCAAAGTGATATTCACGCTAATCGGAGAGCATTTTAGTGTAGCGCAATTCCTATCTTTAGCTGCAATTAACCCATCTTACTTCTCCATGTTTTGGACTTTCAAATCCATTGATTTACGGCCGCACAATGAATCCAAAAATCCGATTATCTGCAAGTGAAAAATAACAGCTTCAGGACAAAGAACATTTTATTACAGAACTATTGGACTTTGGAACAATTTAGACCCCTTTTTAAAATCAAGCTGTTCAGTTCAAGTTTTTAAACGTANGTAGTTATTAGTAACTTAGTAATTTAAGTAATTGTTCCTGAAAAGCCCCATTGGGGAGGTAACAATAAAGTATGTATGTATGTAAAAGCAAAGATGTACGTAAAATTGCGATACTTCCGTGACGAAAAGGAAAACTTCACCACTTATTTAAGTAACATTTTCACACTGGTTTTCACACTTCAACATAGCGAAAACGTTCATTAAAAAAAAATCAATCCGCTCTCAGCGACGTGACCCACCCCCAGACCCACCCCCCACCCATCATATAAATGGAATCCAAAGACTGAAAATCCTACCGCAGCTGCCGCCCTAAGTGACAGCGGAGAGCGTGAGAAACAACGAGCCACTTTGTCTTCTTCTGTGATTTTCTCCAGAAGTGCCATCGTCGCGTTAGCCTGAAATTAAACAAGAAAAGGTTATGATGAATTTTGATCCCAGCATCTTAAAGCATTTCGTTTTCAGCTTTCTAACCTACTGCAGTGTGAACTACATACCATATGCATAAGAGATTTAGCAGCCTGTTCTTCACCCATCAAAAACTGTTCCTTTTCTTGGCGCTGTTCTATACTCAGTTCTTTCCACTTATCGTCTGTTCAGAAAAAAAAAGAACCGCTAATTCGAAAATTAACCTCTTGTTTAGGAATCAGCAACTACACTGATGAAAGATTATAAAATATGTCTGAATTAACATCGACTGAAATGCTACAAGACTTGGCTCAAGCCTTTGCAATATTTTTAACATGAGTTCTCATACTGGTTATTCGAAACCTAGCAAGGACATTTATAAAGAAAATGAATCAGTAATCCTGTGGTAAAGAAAACGTGATCAGACGTTTACATCTTTCACTCCGAAATTTGACTTTAGGAGAAAAATAATTATCACAGTAAATGGTTTGAACCCAGGAGTATCAGTAGTTCGTATAGTGTGATCGTCCGGGTGTCTTCTCAGAACTACACTCACCCGGACGATCACACTATACGAACTAAAAATAATTATATGAGAACGTTTGACGTAAATTTCGTAGTTTAGGCAGGTATTACCTGGTGTCTTAAAGGTGTTAGAAGAAAATACTGTTCCTCGCATTTTCCAACTCAGTGTCATGTATGTCTTAGTCCGTTAGTCTAAGTGTGTCTGTCTGTCTGTCTGTCTGTCTGACTATCTGTCTGTCTGTCTGTCCGTCCGTCCGTCCGTCTGTCTGTGTATCTGTCTATTTATGCGTTTTTCTGCCAGTTAGTCTCCTTTCCATCTCAGTCAGCTACCTGCAATAGTATCAAGCAAAACAGTGGCCTACCAGACTGCTTGGCACTCTGCAATTTCTTCACGTTCGTGAGTCGTAGCAAGCCATCTTTGAGCACGTAAAGGAGTGTGTCCAGTATAGAACCTAAAAATGACTAATAAAAACCAAGAACGCTGGTAAAATTACTTCAAAAATCTTAATTACAAATCATTCCTTTCAACACGAAGTGGTATCAGAATTATCATACCTGAAAGCTCTCCCTTCCACATTCTCCCAGAATTGAAGGCAGGCAGTCCGGTCTCTTCCACAAGCCTTCCAACAACTTGATAATCTCGAACCTAAAGCAGAAAGGAAAACAAGTTCACATGTAACCTTTGAAGTTAGCAACTGTGGCCATCTCGAAGTTGGCTTGATAGGTCAGTTGGTAGAGTACTGCAGTGGTATCGCAGAGGTCATGGGTTCGAATCCCGTTCAAACCTGAATTTCTTTTTCAAGCTTTTTGTTTTTTTGCACCTTTATATATTTAATTCCAAATAATTCCAAATAAGTGATAATGTTAGAGATAACAATAATAAGTCTACAATAACAGTAAAAACAACAACCAGTATCCAGAATGTACTATCTGATCAATGTTGGTACTCAGTGAAGCTTTCACTCCATGTGTATACTAACCAAGAAGCCAGCTAGATGGCAGTACAACAATTGACTATCATATTATAATTAAGGACTGCTGTAGGTCCGCAACTACGCTAATGTCCAGAGTATGCAAAAGCCACATACTGTGGCAAAGGCAAGGTTGTATTTCTCACTCTTGCATTGAAGGTGCATGAAGGTTTTTTTTGTTCTGGTTGGTAGGCGCTTTTATTCATACCTGGCTGAAAATTTGTCAAATTGTTCTTTGTCCACGTCCAGGCCCTCCACAATGTCGACCGACGAGTATGTATGAATGAGAGCTGGGCCGAGTTTTTCTCTTACCGCTGGACACATAGTTACGCAGGCCATCAGGTCACCTTCAATGCCGCTATAAATTATAAAGGAAGCATATCATTATAAATATAATTGACATGTAATGACACTATTTTTTCCAATTGATCGTTGGCAATCCTTGGAGTATTAGAGCGAAAATAAGGACAGAGACAACTAAACTCGCGATCTTTTGTCTAAGGCATTGTTAGTTACCATACATTATAAATAAATTAATAATAACGATTAAAAAAACATCAGTTCAGTTTCTTACGTTCCCCATGTTGTTGTCTCCAACAGTTTGTTTTTCCTGAGAAGAAAAAGGTCAAAATAAATAATCGTTGGAAAAAAGAGCACACACGACTCAATCTTTTACAATCTAACTCTGCCATTTTGTTATGAATACAACTGATTTTATTATCTTGGCTTTGCGGTCTGGAACCCAAAAACCTTAAGAAGCCATTATATCTCTCGGGGCATGATCGGAAACTCCGAAGAATTCCGAAGTCAGACTGAACTCAGATGCCCAATAGTTGATTCCAGATGTCGCACCTGCTTAAGACTAACCTTTCTGACAGTCATCTGTGGGATATATTCGTTACTGCGTTTGTACATGTTGAATATACCTTTTATTTCTGACGCATATTTCAGCAAATGACAACAGCGCTGATATGATTCTCGTGGCCGTCACAGGTCCAGGCACCAGGTCACGGCGTTCGATTAGAGCACAACAACAATCAACGAAAACACGGATCTGCAACAAAATGTACAAAAGGTACATTTAGACACGAAAAGAAGCGACACATGGATCATTAAAAAACGCCAGAATAATATGAAAATAATATTTAATAGCATGGTTATTCTGTAGAGATGACAAATGTGCACCTTGCTCGATTAAGTCCAAATTTTGTGTGCGCAGATTTTTGCCGTCATGGGAATAAGAACTCTTTGAGACACGTGGCATAACGCGCAGCACACGCGCGTCGGGTACACACGCACACCCGCTAAAACAAGCGCAACCACATTTGCAAGCAGGCCATGTCTCACAGATTAATTACTTGTAATTAGAATTATTTTTATGTCCTCGTGCTACAATTTAAAAGAAAAATTCAGAGTCGTTTTAATTGAAAGATTCAATTTTTGGTAAAAAAAAATCACTATAAGTTTCATAGGACAGTAAAGTTTAATGCTCGTTTCTTTCTGAGACAGCGTTATACGTAAGAACTTAATCATAGATTCGCAAAACTGTGACGCGCAAGTATACGTAACAATTACCCAGGCTATGACTTTTGCTTAGACAATTCTTTCGGTACTTCAACCCAGCAGGCGTACCAAAATGCCCCCCCACCCCTCTCCTTCACCACTGGAGTGAGAGAAAATGTGAAAAGAATGCGAAGAATTCCACTTACATCCAATCCCTTGAGTGCACAAGGCTTGTGTAAAGCGGCAAAACTGAACCAGGAACACATGTCTTTGACGTAGAACTCAGGAATATTTGCGAATATTTCCCGCTGTTTGGCACGGATTTCGTTCTCAGATAACCCCTGAAATCAGTTTTTACCAAGAAGTTATCCTATGCTAAACGAACGTTTCCATCAGCAAAAACAACTAAGACAAGCTACATATAATTTGGCCACAATGCAATATTTATAAACAGCCAGCAAAGTTTATGTCTTACTTGATTTTCAGAAGCACAGCTGTTTAACAGATGAAGAAGCCAAGCAGCATTTGTGATGTAAAACTCGGAACACAGCCTCATAAAGTGCGAGTCCTGCAGACAGGTGTCCCACTGAAGGACAAACAACTACAAACAGGAGGACAAAACAATTGGGTTAATATGACATAGCGATCGAGCGTGACGTCAACATTTTTTTGTGCAGCGCAACGTGGCGTCGTGACCCTTTCATAAAGTGTCGCGTTAGTCGATTGTGTATTCAAACCGAGTTTGCATGATGTAACCAACATATCAAACAACACATGGGTACGTGCGGGCTCTCCAAAGGGGGGTGAGGAGTTCACTCCTGTTTCTGTAGCATTACACACGCAGCCTGGATGGGATGCTAGTCTGTCGCTGGTTCCCTCCGCAGGTTTCCTCCCACTCTCCCACAATTTTTGCGCGAGTACGCCTGGCTAACAATTTGCCAACAGTCCAGGGTGAAGCGAAGCAATGTGAGAGTAAAGTGTCTTGCCCCACAAAACAACAGAATGACCCTGAGCAGCGCTCAAACTCCCATCTTTCTTAATCTACCTAAATCAAAATTTTCAATTCGCTAAACTCACCAAAAGTTGCTTTCTAACTTCCGCTTCTTCCGGAGTACCTTGTTTCATTTCAGTCATTCTCGCGTAATACCTGAAAGTTTAAAAGGTGTATACAAGAGAAAGAGTGAGACAGAAATCACACTCACAAGAACACAACTACATCGTAAAACCAGTCGAGAAAACGAGGTCCGTTTTCGGAAAATTTTCGTAAAGTGTCGGAAGAGTTCCGATGTCTATAACCCAATCAAAAATGACAAGAACACTCAGGAAATGTTGATCAACAACCTGCCGAAAATACCAGCTTAGTTAAACTTGGAAACGGGATTGCAAACGAACGAAAAACGTGTTGCCCAAGCTGAAAGAACATTGTACATATCTGACCTGTAGATATTGTTATAATGTTGAATTGTTGTAGTGAGTCCAATGTGCAGCGCGCTGTGAGTGATGTGAAACATTTCCGTCATCAGCTTGAACTGACCTACAAACAGAAGTTTACACTGATCATGAATTACACGGTATTACTGTAACATGTGACATACAACA